GGAGTCAGTGCTAACCACTGAGCCGTTCTCCCCAATGTTTGTTATGTGTGTGTAATATTCTTAACTGCAAGTTCTTTGTCTGTGTATTCACTGACAATGGCAGTAAAACTGATTCTGATTCTGATTTGGATGGGTGAGCAAATACTTAGGTAGCTAAGTTTGTTGCTGTTATAGTTGAGAGTTGTCCTCAATACACTGTCTGAGTGTTAACATGTTTTGCAAATTCTTGCAAAAATTTATAGAATAAGGCACAATGTTAATTCAAGATTTGATCAAAATTCTTGGTCTTTTATTGATTTAGACATTGATGTGCAAATTCAGTCATATAAGAGTTTTCAATACCTGTTCCACAAAGCAGGTTYATGCAAGCTGACTCATGAGCGGGAAAAAAACTTCCTAAAGTGGATGACATCGACTTCCAGCTAGTCTCAGTGATGCTACCTGCGAGGTGTCACGTAACTCTGGTCTCAGCCTCAGTCTCCACATCAGTTCCGATTCCAGATCAGTCAGGAGAGAAAAAGGCAGACTGATCTTCTGCTGCACCAGCGCCCAGAGTCTGCTCATGCTCATTACATCCACACAAAGCAAGATGTGTTTTCCTGCTCGGCCTCATGGATTAGGATCTGGGCACGCCGCACGCTGGTGCACAATCGAATAGCAACGGTCGTGCTGTAATAGTCGTTCTCTGGCATCTGACAGTAAGGAATTAYCAGCTACCACATGATGTCTCTCACACAATCAAGTTATTTTCATTCTCCACTGGGTCAAGTTCCTTTACAGGCACATATCCCATTGAAGAGCAGAACAATGATGAYGTTACGGAAAAGTAACTGTTTATATGGTTCAGTTGAGATGAAAACTGATGGCACATGATTTAATTAATACAATGTTTGGAGCCCTGTGTGCGGGTGTTATCAGTGGGACAGTGGAAGTTGAGAGAGTAAAAAAAAGTGATGTGACGGAAAACTCTTTGTCTGTGGTAAGAAAACGGCGATGTCTGGCYGCTCTAACTCGCCGCTCTAACTCGCCATTCTGTGCTGTTAGTCACGTCTTCATTCTTTTCACTGTGTTGGTTTTGGATGGGGTACCTTCATCCCCAGAAACACTGCCAGCTCATTCTGCTGAGGCATGGCTTACTGTACAAAAACGTCACACCTCATGTACAGTTAAGCAGTCATTTTATCCTGAAAGATATTTTCCCAGCAGCACTGACTCTTGGAAAGTTTTAGGGTCTTTCACAATGCWTCCATTTTTAAGCTGTACCCCTATTTTCCATAAAAGAGCAATAAAAGTCTGTTTAAAGTCAGAATTGAATAAACAGCACACAGTATATACATACAAAAACCACCCAGCTTGCCCTATTTTTTTCCACTTGGCATTGTTCCACTTCACTTTCAAGCTCTGGTCCTCCACCAGAGTCCTGGCTCTCCTGGACAGAGATCTCTGGTTGTTCCTGGAATCTATTGGACCCACTCTTTCCATTTGGGGGTCACAGCAGTAGTCATGTTTCCATCCAAATGTTATGCAAATTTTGAATAAACTTTTAAAATTTTGCAAAAAAACAATGTGAATGAGGCATTTTCATTTACTGGTTYGGAGCAAATCAACTAGGCTACACAAAGCATAATTTYGTCAGACATTGACTTTACGCAACAGGAAATAGAGTTTGTAAACTAACAGGGACCACACATCTCGGGACAATGGAGAAAGGTTTTCAGGAATGTATTGCTATCAGGCAAATTGTGTTTGTTCTGTTTCTGTTATTTCATGCATGAGACTGAGAAATGCTTTGGTCTCTTTGTACCRTTTGTTGTTTCCAGCCATGTTTTTGCAYGTTATGGGAATATAACAGACGATGCCAACAGCAGAAGTGGCTGATCAATCATGTAAGATAAATGTTTGCTAAGTCAGAACTTATTTAGCAAAYGTGGTCCCATCTCCCAKTTTGTGCATTAACTTTGGATAATCCAAAAACCAACTCAAGTGAGTGTAAAAACCTTTTTGCTAAGTTGAGGAYATTTTCTGGGTTTTGCCGTTTCCAACAACCTTTCATGTTGCGATACTTCAAAATATGTGTCATGATTGGTGTCTGTGTTAATGTTTTATTCTAGTTTTCTGTCCTGCCATCTGTTTTCGTCTTCCTGTCTGCCTTTGCTCGAGCCCCGCCCACTCACACCTGATCCTCATGTTTCTCCTCCAGGTTTTTCTTGTTTGTGCTCATTAGTCTTAACTTTAAATTCTCTGTCTGGTCTTCACTTCCCTGTCGGATCATTGTTCTGTATTGTGTTGTGTGTTCCAGCTTTAAGGTTTTTCATTCATGTCCTGTGTTTTGCCACGTCCAAGCCTTGTGAGTTTCTTGAGCTGCCCCGTCAGCACTTTTTGTTTAAATAAATTTAGATTTTTGGTTTTTTGAAACTGCCTGCACCATGGGTTCTTTCCTGTCTGAAAATCATGACAATATGCGTAAATAAACTGATGGAAACACAGCTGCTAAGTGTTTTGATAACCACTGACTGCACTGAGGCCTTGACTCTCCACAACTCCTCTGTTTCCTCTTTTAGACCATGGTACAGTATTTCTCAAGCATTGCTCCTTCACTCTGATGTTATGGTCACTTGGATCGGGATTGCTGTATATATCACCACAACCTTCTTCTGTAGCTTGTCAACCACYGATATGTTCAGCTAAKTAGCCATCAATTTCTTAATAAACACAGCAGGGAGATGTTAAGTCACACAATTTTGGTGCAGGAAGATGGGGAGTTCAGGATTGGAATCACAGTGCCAGCCTTCAAGCATCCTTAGCTAAGCGAAAGACGTAGAAATGAAGCCATGCTGGCTTGGACATTAACAAGGTTCGCATCAGATGTTGGGGAGGGAGGACATTCAAAGGAATGAACTACCTGAACCTGCCTTTTATTTATTAACCTTTATTACTTYATTAATCTCCACCAGGGACATTTATTTATTGCAGCAAAACAATCTGACAAGTAAAACTCAAAATGTGCAATCAGAGGTTTRAACTATGCAAAATCTGATCTAATTTGTGCAGAGGAGGCAAATTTTGTTGCAGATCATGATGATCCGTGGCAAAAAAGGATTTCCTGTAGTGGCTGTGACAAGAGTAGTGTTTTGTAAGAAATGATTCTCTGCTGTGTACGCAGTGTGAGGTGGAGAGAATGTTTGGAATCGTCCTTTTATTGGTATTTTATTTGACATACTTTTCTCCACAACCTTTTTAAGTCGTTCCCTTCTGCAGCCAATAATGGAGCCAGCCTTCATTAGGTTTGCATAGTGTGTAGGTGTATTTGGCTCCACAGCTGCTCACATTAAAGGATTGAGTTCCCCTTGATRAATRTGCTCATCCCCTTTTTACTTACAGYTTCGGTGAGAGGCCTCCAGYCCAATCATTTATTGATCTAAACTCTCAGATACTTATAACCCTCCACCTCCACCGCTTCCTCTTCCTTTTTTAGTGGTTAGAAAGCTACTTATACACTTTGAGTAAATTAATTCTCTGGATGATCAATACACTTAAATCCAAAGGACATTTATCAAAACAACCTGAACTGGTTTTGCTCACTGTTTAACTGGCACAGAAATATTCTTCAACTTGACAAGAATCGACATGCTCCATCTATTCTGTGGAAAAAAGAAACCTATTCAGCTGCCCGAAAATGCGAACGTCGTTTGCATAAATTAGTGTCAAAGTGTTTAGTTGGATCTACTTTTACTTCCACCTAAGAACTACTTTTTTTCTGTCACCTAAGCACAGCAGCAGTCACTCAGATGTTATATGTTCATTATATTCATGTTAATATGTTCGTTTAATGTCAACTAAGACACAAGTTTTCATGTTATAGTAGTTTTTGATAATTAAACAATAATCTATTTGAATGGTTTTGTTATTTTACTTCATTTTTATTGTTTAAAACACCATTTTTATATAATTGTGTCCTGTGTTTGGTTTTTCTATTAGCTCGGTTAATAACTGAAGRCACTACATCGATATACTTGTAAGATTAAAATTGATAAATAAATTACTCTGATGTCTTGTAATCTTTATGAAGCTGTGATTTGAAACACGGTACATTTTTAGATTTACCAAACATGCTAGGTGTATTAGCACAAAGTATCAGTATCAAATCAGTTTTTCAGAATTTTACTCAAAGGAAATTGGTGGCATCAAACATCACCACTATATGTTAATAATAATTACACTGATTTGAWTTAAATTCAATTCAGTTTGATTAAAAACTACTTTATTGATCCCAAAGGGGAATTGCAGATGCCAAATGACAATGGTAGTTTATTTTAATGCCATTTGGAGTAGGGTCACACAGAACTGCAAGGTGGAGAAAACAAAGAATTGTCATATTTGAGTTAGTTTTGTTTTTAACACTGAGATAAGATGTGAACCTTGTGCTCCTCTAGTTTAGATACTGTAAAATATCTGTTGATCTTTTGTTCTTGTCATTTGCTCTTTCAGAACTGTAGATAACAATTAACATTTAGATTTTTGCTATAAAGTTTAAAAGTCACCAAAAATAGGCAACCCTATACGTATAGGCCCAAAGACAGGATATTTGTTTGCTTACTGTCCTTTCCCACAAACTGACCTTATCTTGTGGTCTTTGGGAGATTTACTGTAAGTCTGATAATAAAACCAATATGTCAGTCACCAAAAACTTGTGCGTGCATTGTGCATTATGTGGTTTTCAATGTTTGATCAAAGTGGCTACAACTCTCTTATTTCTCTACTTGAGATAATCTTAATCTAGTATGAAAGGGGAATTAAGACAAGCATTTCTTCAGACTTGTGACTGATTTAAAGGCTTATGTGACATGTTGAAACAATTACTTTATTAATATACTCTRAGTGCTTGCACTTGGTTAAGATTTAAAATTGGACTAAATAGAAGCAGGGAAAAAATAACTTTTTGGTCTGAGGATCAAAGCCAGACCAACAGGTTATAAAAGAACACAGTCAAATCCATGAAATGCAAAAAGAAACCACATCACTTTATTTTAGAGAAATGGTTTGTTTTCTGCCAGTGTTTACTGAGTTCAAACATGGAAGTCAGTAGAATACCAGCCAACAAATGTCCTGCTTATTTGATCACACTGCATAGCTCTTACAGTACAGGAAGTTATTCAGAGCTCTGCAGCTCCGACAGCAACTAACARTGAAAAATTTACTTTATCAGTAGTCACACATTAAAAAACAAACAAACAAACAAACAGTAAAAAAACACTGAACAAGGAATGCAGTTCATTATATGTTAATCAGATGAAAATGTCWGTCATTGTGTCCTTTTAACTGTTTAGTTGTTACTCTGTAAAACTTTCATTTGCAGGGCTGTCACATCCCTTCTGTGTGCACATACAGAACTTTAACGGACAAAAAAAAAAAATTGAAAATGCAGTTTTTAATCTCTGAAATAATTAAGAACGTCAGCAAGTAAACATCAAGTATCTAGATGTAGAGATGGATTTCATTACAAGAACAATAAATTAAGTTTCTCAATAAATAGACAAAATTGTTTTTCCTTAATTATTATCGACAATTCTACAAATACGCACAATAAAAATCTGTTCAAATCTGTTCTTTTATTTTTCTCTTCCTATTTCATAAATAAAAAAATACATAAATACAAAATAAATAAATAAATAAATAGTTATTAAAACCTAATCTTTTGAAAAGAATTGCTACAGCTCAGATGTCCTTTCTTTCAAAATGATGGTGGGATTGATGTCGCTGTGGCCCGAGTGCGAGGTGCTCGAGTTGATGACGGCGGACACGGGCTCTTTGACGTCGGGCACGTAGAAGGACGCCATCGGGCAGGGCCCCTTCACGTTGTTGCAGACGAGCCTCTGCAGGGAGGCGGTGTTGACGATGTCGAAGCCCACGCTGCCTCCGAAGGTGCTGGGCTTCCAGTACTCCGGGGAGCAGATGGGATTCCCCAGCAGGCCCTTGAGGGAGAAAGGAGCCCCCATCTCCACCATTGTCTCCCCGAAGATGGCGTTGGGCCGGGGCTTCTCCACCAGCAGGCCCGGGTAGAGCTCCACGGCGTCCACGTCGCCGTACATCTCCTCCAGCAACGCAGCCATTTCTTTCTCCCCTGAAGCAACAAACACAAACGTTTTTAGTCAGCGGTTCAGTTCAGCTCGCCTCACAGGCTCAGCCACAAAGTTAAACTAAATATTTCCTGAGTTTCAGTCGGCTTACATCAATCAAACCTTTAGCCAACTTCCTTCCTCTCTTAAGGTATGCAAATGTTTTAGCGGTTAAAGTTAATTTTTATTTCACAATTCTATCCTTTTGAGGATCTGAAGCAGGAAGTATTGAGTGTGTTTACATCCTGCTCGTTGTGATGACAATCTGCTTACATTACGTCAAGATAAAATGAGCATCGGGCTTTTAGAGTCATGGAAAAAAACACCCAGCTTTTAAAGCAGCTGCTGTATAAGTTCAAATGTTAATAATGAGTAAACTATTACATGAGTTGTTAGTGCTTAGCATGTTTAACAATAACTAGTAAATTGATGGTGTGAGGTGACGTTAATTATAGCTTCTTTACAAATCTTCTTGCGTCATCTTTTCCACCTACAAGCATRAGGTTTTGTAATTGATTTATCTCACCTGTCAAGTCCTCAAAGGAGCTGTAGGGTTTCATGGAGAACCTCTTCCTGTAAGCGTTGAGGGACTGGTAACGCATTTGCCTGCTGTGTTCRATGGATTTAATGGCCACGTACAAGATGGGTCCCGGCACATTACGACCGCCAGCAACCTGCCGAAGAAGATTAAAGCGTGAGCCTCGAAAGCTTTTAAAGCCGCAGCTTCCGTTGCGAATTAAKTGTTGCCGCAATGGCGTTAGCCGTTCTTACCCGTCCTGCAATCTGCTTGGTGAATGAGTCCACCAGGCTGTTGATGCCGTGCTCCGTCATCACCGTGGTGTTGAAGACAAACTGCTTGTAGCTGTAATCCTTCCCGTCGATTTGGAAACTGTCGGGCATCAGCGGGTGCCAGTGGTACAGCGTGTTGAACTCGGACGCGATGCGGTTTTGGTACTGGAAGCGCTGGCTGAAGAGCAGCTCGGGGTCAAACTTGAGCTTGAAGTGGTACCCACTCAGGTGCTGCACGTAATCCTCGATCACAATCTTGATGGTCTCACCTGCGGGGASGAGTGATAAAATGTTTAACTTTGTATGAAAACGCTGTTTCTTCATTTGCAAAATAAAAGACAAACAAAAACATTTCCTTTTTCTGCTGCCAAACAGAAACTGTGAAAACCTGTTCTTGTTTCTCTGAAAGCAACAGTGTTGTTGGTTGTCCCAAAATAAAAAAGCACCTCTTCCTTTATTCAAAACTTCCACATTAACACAATTTCCTCACTCTTTACATTCTCAACCGCAATATGGAAGGAAGTCTGTAAATCTTCTTTGCAGAAGTCTTGAAACTCACCAATCAGGATGAGCCGTGACGTTTGGAAGAGTCTTTCGTCATCCCAGTCTGGGTGAACTTCCTTCAGCACGTCACAGACTCGGTTGTGTTCACGGAGCCAGATGGTGGCATACATCATGAGGCCGGGGACCAGRCCAAACGCCTCGTGGCCAACGGCAAAGCGCTGAGAGTCCAGGACATGAGGCGGGTAGTGCATTTCGACACCGACATCCTTAACCAACGGGGGATACACCTCTCCATTTCTCATCTGTGGAGTTACGCAACAACAGAAGAAACTAAGACACAGATGTACACTTGAAGCACTTATATACCAGAAATGCAGCTTTTTCTTCTTCCATACCTCATATTTTAGCTTGCCGTCTTTGAAGAGCCTGAGCTTGTGCTGCTTCTCCAGGTTGCCACCGTAGATGTGGCTGAGGTCCACCTAAAAAAAACCATAACCCACCATTTTTGAGCTTATTTTCCTCCCTTTAATGACCAGAAACATGATCTTTTTTGTTGTATTTTTTGGTATACTCACCCCATGACCTTGAGACACGGTRAAAGCAGGTCCATTTTTCATATCGGATTTGAAGAACTGGTGCGTGAAATGCTGCGCGAAGAAAGCAAACATCAAGCTGGTGCCCTGTGGGTCTGGGATAAACTGCCTCCTCACCAGGAGCTTCTCAGCCAACAACTTGACGTCAGGCAACTCCTTTTTACCTGGAAACAACAACAACAATACTTTTTAAAAACATCTWGTGTCTGCCGTACAACTTCAGTGCAAAGAATTTGCAAATGATGCTGTGGTTTAGTTTTCTGCTTGTTGAGACAGGTTCTTCTGGGCTCGCTGAGAATATTTACACTCAGGCATGGATAAAGGAAGCGCTGTTTGTTTCCGGTGATGTAATGGGACCAAAACGTTCTTTACGCAAGATTTTAGAATCTAAAATAACTGGTTCTCCTGAGCCAAAGACGGTGCGCTCACCTACGACTCCCATAGGGGTTGGGCAGTCCTGCGGCACAGGCGGAAGGGCTCGTGTGTAGTAGGACAAGTTGGAGTAGGCTTCCCAGCTTTTGTAACCGTAGTCGGCATTGTAAGTTGGAGGACTGTCGATCAAGTGGGATCGAGCTAGGATGAAGAGGAAAAAAAAGTTTATGTCTTTTTTATTATAGATAAACACTACGGTTGAAGTAATGATTTAGTAAGTTACAATTAGGTTTCCAAAGCTTTTCATTTTGCCATGAGCAGACTTACATGTCAGCACATATCTCATGATGACGTCCCTGAGAAATGAGATGCTGTTAACAATGTTCCAGAAAGCCTTGTAGTGGGTGAGAATGTAGTGGACGGTGTTGGGCGACGGCTTCAGGGAAACTTTTAACCAGGTGAGGAATTCAGCTGCAGGAAAAAAAGGGGGAAACAAAAGAGATAGAGAGAGAGAGAGGATTGTTAATATTATCTTACCTGAACAAATCACAGCAAAGAGGAAGGAGAAAGTGTTAGATTTGCTTTTTATTTACTTACGTGTTGTGCAGTTCTTGCCATGATATCCTGTCCGCGTGCAGTCACATTCATAATCATTAGCTCCCATTGCTGTGCACACACCTCTGTTCTGGCATGGCTCAGAGCAACATGGGTTACCTGAAACAAACAATGCTGGACTTTTATTAAGAATTCAGAAATGTTAGAGAAGTGTCTAAAGTATTTCTCCATAGGACTGTTTACTTTGAACAAACAACTCAAAAAACCTTAATTTTAAAGTTATTGTACATGAATCTACTAAATAACTTTATTTCTTCTTAATCATCTAAAATTGAGCCTTACCTCCGTTGCAGGCAAGAAAAAAAGCTGCCAATAAAAACGCAGAAAATGTGAGGCTATTCATGCTCCTAAATCTCCGATAGATTCGTCTCGTATTCTTCTCTTTTTTTTTTTGGTCCTTTTTTTTTGTCCTCACTCCTCCGCTCTTCTGAGAGTCGCTACAGTCTGAGCGCTTCAGACCTGCGCCTTGTATTTAACTGAGCGCGAGTGTGACGTCAGCATCACCACCCATCTACGCCCACCGCCTCTTTATGAATGACTGAAAAGTCTGATGAACAAAAAAAAAATGTAATCTTGAGAATGTTTTACATATTTTCCACAGTCTGTATTTTCATTTATTTAAATTTTTTTTTCAGACTGATCTTTTTTTTGGCACCTATATGAATTTAACAAAACCATAATCTGAAACACTAAAACTCAATGGAGATGTTGATTTAGAGCGAATTAACAATATTCAATGTGAAAAATAGTTAAGAGGATATCGGATAAACGTTGAATGAATACTCTCATTAAGATTTTAACTAACTGTTTGTAAACGTGCACATATGTTATCACCACTGTTGCTGTATTTCACAAATGGTCTTATTTCTAATAATTATTTTTTAAGGAAAACACACGAAAAGAATCTTAAAAGGAAAATTAAATGAACAGGAAAAAACTGTAAAGTTRTAAAATGATTATCTGCATATATGATTTAAAGTTTTTTGTTACGATGCGTAAAGAGTTTCATCCTAATACAATTTATTATGAACGATATTTGAAGAGTTTTCTTTTTAAGTCTTTACTTAAAAAAAAAAAAAGCTTTTGACCAAACGTGGATTTAAAACTGCAGGTTGATACAGCTTGTTACCACTTTTGTGTTACCTCCTAAGAGT